ATAAGTTATGCTATGAGCAAATGCTATTCTTGGGGCTCAGTGACATTCTTACAACAAGACCCCTGGTCATAGTACCTACTTATTGCTTCAGAACAGAAATGTCTTTGGATTTCCACAACCCTTCTTTTCAGCTTCAAGTGAATTGTTAGAAGCCTACTGAAAGAGGACAGGTGGAACAGATGCTTTGGTACATCAGAACTCCTTGGGGTTGGCGACTCTACCCACAAACAGCAAGGCATTCGTGGTTTCTTCATAGATCATGAAAATGAACGGCCGATTCACCCGGATGACAGGAGGCATTGAATGCGGTGTGATTTCTGATCCTGTGCCAGCTGCAGCTTCGGTTCCTGCCTCATCCACTTCAATGCATGCTCTATGGAGAACCTGAGAAGTTTGAACATGTTATGAGGATTCATAGCAACGTGAGTGCAATTTTTTTTGGTCAAGATTTCATCTTGTGCCAATGTTGAGCTGCAGCAGTTTCTGAAACGGCTGAAATGGCACAGACCACTCTTCTGAACCGGGTCCACCAAAACAAGACTGCACCTGTAAAACCCCTCACATCTGGCATTGGGGGTGGGGGAGTAAATACAGGATGGCCCATACTAGATTGGCATAGAAACTTAGGGGGCTAGAAGGACCACCTATCCTCCAGGAATAGACCTATCCTCCACGAAATTGTCTAAAGGGGGTTAAACAGTGGCAACAAGCCATGGTGACTAAAGGGAACCTCCACGTTCAGAGGCAGTAAACCTCTGAATACCAGAGCCAGAAGGCAACATCAGGGGAAGGCTTCAGCCTCTATGCCCTGTGGCTGGACCTCCAGAGGGACTGGTTGGCCGTTGTGTGAGACAGAATGCTGGACTAGATGGACCACTGGTCTGATCCAACAGGGCTCTTCTTAAGGCATACAAGCTGCCAAACAAACAGCAGGCCCTCGTAGATGTGACCACACAAGTCAGTGGTTTGCAAATGGTGAGCATCGGACTCCTCTCCCTTGTTCTCAAATAGATGGTCAGCACTATCTAGGGTGGAGAGTGCCGGCCCTCTGCCCAGGAGGCAGATAATCCCATGTTGCTGTACGTAATAATCTTCAGAGTGGGGCCACTGTGCCTGTTAAATAGGTTGGATTGGGACAGGATGTGAGAGCCAGTTTGGGGTAGTGGTTAGAAGCACGGACTCTAATCTGGGAGAACCGGGTTTGAGTCCCCACTCTTCCACATGCAGTTGCTGGTGTGACCTTGGGTCAGTCATAAATTCTTTCAGAGCTGTTCTCTTAAGGGCAGTTCTCGAGAGAGCTCTCTCAGCCCCACCTACCTCACAGGGTGTCCGTTTTGGGGAGGGGAAGGGAAAGGAGATTGTAAGCCGCTCTGAGACTCCTTTGGGTAGTGAAGGATGGGGTATAAATCTGACTATAAATATATAAAAAATAAAAATCTTCTCTTCTTCTTCTCCTTCTGCTGCATAAGCAGTAATTTTATTTACAATTTATCTCTGCCTTTCTCCGCAATGGGAACCCAAAGCCTTTCACGTTGTCTCCTTCTCCTTCATTTTATCCTCACAACAACCCTGTGAGGTAAGTAAGGCTGAGAGAGAATGACTGGCCCAAAGTCACCCACTCAGCTCCCATGCAAGAGTGACAATTCAACCCTGAGTTCCTCAGATCTTAGCCTGACACTCTGACCACTACCCCAGATCCCCAGCAACGCTGAGCCACTATTCTGATTACGATTGAAGCATTTGGAATCTAGTATCTAAGCAATGAAAATATGACATTTCTGCAATAAATAATGTTTACCTGTGACACTTTTGTGAGGGTCTGATTTGTGAGTAGGCTCAAGTCGGCTTTGTTAGAGAACAGATCTTTAATTCCCAGATCAGGAAGCAATTGATGCATGTAGTATTTCTGGTCCAGTTTGAACTTTGGAAAGTAAATATCAATTTTTCTGTAACACAAACAAGCAAGCAAACAATAGACCATAGCCGAGTGGAGAATACGTACATCAAACGTATGCCGTGCGTATATACCATAATAGCATAGAGGCTCTGCACAAATGAACATCACAAATAGGGGACTTTTTCTTGATGGTTAAAAAACAAAACAAACACAAAGTTCTGATCTAGAAGAAGAGAGAGATTGGATTTATACCCCCCCTTCACTACCTGAAGGAGTCTCAGAGCAGCTTACAATCTCCTTTCCCTTCCCCTCCCCACAACAGACACCCTGTGAGGTAGGTGGGGCTGAGAGAGCTCTCTCGAGAACTGCCCTTGAGAGAACAGCTCTGAAAGAACTTATGACGGACCCAAGGTCACACCAGCAGCTGCATGTGGAGGAGTGGGGACTCAAACCCAGTTCTCCCAGATTAGAGTCCGTGCTCCTAACCGCTACACCAAACTGGCTCTGAACTGGGTCTGGAGAAGAACGTGCCTTCGTATAAAATGCCCCCAATGCCTTAGGAATCTCAGGCCTTCCCATAGCATTGCCCTTAGAGGTACTACAGAGCATTCTATTCTTTGTGACTGAAGCTCCAAATGGGACTATGCACTATCGAGGGATACTGGAAGCCGTGAGAGATGTCTCTCCCTCCATGGTCCTCCTCAATACCACTTGCCTCTGGAACTGGACCTAGTGATAGCAAAAGGGTCTACTTGTTTCAAGAACAGATCAGACCTGAAGAAGCAGCAGATCTCTGAAACGGTGACATAGGCACTTTAAGAAGGACGGAAGACAGAAAGGCAGGCAGACAGACAGACAGAGTTTACCTTTGAGAAAGAGGCGACAGGCTTCAACTTCTAGCCTGGTATGGCCCTTTCTTTCCTCAAATGCCCCCTTGCACCCCTTCATGTCCCCAGCAACACCTTTAACCCACTACTGTGGTTTGTATGAGAGTGTTTGGAATCGAATATCTAAGCAACAACAGCAGCAGCAGCAACAAAAACGTTCTATACACTGTACCTGGTTTCCATATTCCTAAGCCATGATTCCACAAGTCTAGCTGATAAAAAGTCTTCCAGGGCATGGAAATCTCCCTCCCGAGGCATTGCGATCAGCATGTATGCGTTTCCTCTGTATGGAATCTTTAGCACAACACAGTGCAAATTCTTATCAAAAGTATAGGCAGCTCTTGCGGTCTTGAACATCATGGGCACTTGGACAGTGTTGTAATTGTCTACATAGAAGGATTCTAGTTCTGTGAACTTAGTAGAAAACGGGTGTAGCCATTTGCCTAAGGAAAGAAAGGAAATTGTTTATTCCATTGCATGGATGTTATTCATACTGATTGACAAAAACACTGGGCACAACCTAGCCAAAGCAAAGCTTTTAAAATCACATTTATTTCAATTTGAACGTGTGCTTAGCTCACCCGTTGAAATTAACGAGGCTTACCTTTCACTGGATGGCACAAAAAGAAAAAAGGAAGTGGTGTGAAGTCCTCTGCCCACAGTTCAATAGCAAAGACAAGGTTTCTCCCCTAGTCTAAGAGCAAGATTTGAGTCCAGTAGCACCTTAAAAGATGAGATGGTTAGACAGTGTTATCGATGCAATGAACATGGAGTTGAGCAAACTCCAGAGGATGGCGGAAGACGGGGGAGCCTGGCGTGATCTGGTCAATGGGGTTGCAAAGAGTCGAACTCAACTGTGCAACTGAACAACAACAGCAGCGCCTTAAAGACCAACAAGATTTCCAGAGGATAAGCTTTCAGGAGTCAAAGCTCCCTTCGTTATATCTCCCAGGGAGCTCTGGGTCTCAGAAGCTTGAACCATGGAAACCTCATTGATCTTTAAGGTGCTACTGGACTCAGAACTTGCTGTTCTACTGCGGACCCACCTGAAACTATCCTCCAGCCTGGTTGCGGCATTGTAACCCTGTTAGAAAAGCAATCGTTAATTAATTATGCCAATTCTATCTTCTCTGGAAGATGTCATAAAATCCCTTATGAACTTAGACAATGCCCTTGTAGTCAGGGTGCCATCAAATCTGTTTCCCACGTTCTTTTAAATTGCCCATCTATATATCTAATAGCAAAAGGCGCCCCCTGTGTGCGGATACCTAAATCCGCGCATCGGGGGCACCTGGGGGGGAGGGAGATTTTTGTGCACACTTTGGGCAGTCTCTAGGTGTGCACAAAAATCTAAAAACCTGAAAAAAATATCGGGGGGAAACTTAAATCCCCCCAAAGGTGACAGAGCATCCCCTGCGCATGCGCAGGGGACGCTCTGCGAACTCCCTCGCCACCGCCGCTTGGGGGGGGGAGAGAGCAGCGAGGCCCAAGCAGCAAGCTGCTTGAGCCTCGCTTTGAAGCCAGGGGCGGGGGGGGGAGGAACCGGTGGGACGGGGGGAACTTACCTCCTCCTGCTGCTTCCTCCTCTGCCTCCTGTGTGGAGGTCCCTCCCCCCCATGAGTATTGCAGGTCCCGCCCCCTTGTTTTATACTAAGACCCAGGATAAATTTCTGGACTCCCTTCTTTTTACATGGCGTGGTCTCCCTGAGAGTGTCAAAGTCCAGTTGCTACTCTTGGGGCAAAATTCTTCTATAACTTTTAATGTTGCCTGTTTTCTTCAATTTGCAATTCAAAGCAGGGAAACTATAAACTGATCAGGTTTTTCTCCTCACTGTTTGTTTGTTTGTATGACAGCCACATTTTTGATGTATTCCTAAATTTTACTGTACTTTTATTTCTAATATGCCAATAAAGGATGTCTGTCTGTCTGTAAATTATGCCAATTACAGCGTAATCCTATGCAGACTGAAATAAATGCGCTTAGACTGGAGCAACTGATATGTCTGGACATGTGCAATCCTCCACTCAGGCTTAACTGCTGCGGGTGCTAGTAGCCAGCATAAGGAGGCATGCATGGACTTGTCTGGCAGGCCATCTAGCTGGAGAGTGGGGAGGCATGTCTGGCCTTGTCTGGGCAGGCCACCTAGTTGGAGCTTGAAGCCCCAGAACAAAGACAAGCAGGATCCTAGAACCTCTGAGGACAGCCTGCCAATCTGGAGCCTGGAGGCGATTTGAACTCACCAATCACATGGGGGCTGGGAGTGGCTTAGGTGTATATAGTTAGGCCACTTGCCCCATGTAAAGCATTCCTGTTGATGCAATAAACTGCTGCTTGTTGAAATCACTCTGCCTTTGCCTCTGCTGTGTTAAACCTACCATTTAACAGCAATGTTGCATAGGTTTGCGCTCCTAGTTGTTTGGTGGGAAGAACTTACACTTTGCCCCTCAAACCGCAGACCAGCACTGCTGCTGATTGTCTGCATCTCTCTGTGCTTTGTGGAGCGCTCTCTGCAGAGATCCCCCGCAACATCTTTGTGCCACTGTTCTCCTTTGTACTAGAATATTTGGAACTGAGTCTCTTATCTGCTGTGCATACACAGTTGTTAGGTCAGAGGCACACATGTTCAAACTGGGCTAGTTGTGCATCAATTTCCGATAGAATCACAACTATGCTATGCACTCTGCTTTTGGGCAGGCCAGAAAACCTATGTAGTGAACTGACTTATGAACAATGGTCACTGGTATCCGTAACTTGGATTTAGCATAGGTCCTGTACAAATACAGAATCTCACTTTCAAATTAGGAGATAACGTAGAACTCTTGGAGGAAGAAAGTATTTTTATCGTTCTCCAGTGATGCTTATAATTGCTGACTCATTTCCAAATCATGTTGAGGCGAGTTAGCCCATCCGTAGCTCCTATACTAACAACCCAATCCAGTGTAGAGTTGCTGAAGTATAAAATGTGGATTTCAGTGGATTTCAGTGGATTTAAGTGGATTTAGTCAGGAGTAATCCTGAAAAACCTGGGGCCGTGGTGGCTCAGAGGTTAAGACGCTGAGCTGCAGACCAGAAGGTCGGTAGTTTGGCAGTTTGAGACCCTAGCACCGCATGATGGAGTGAGCTCCCCTGGCCCTAGCTCCTGCCAACCTAGCAGTTCAAAAGGAAGAAATTGGAAGTAGATAAATAGGTACCACTTCGGTGGAAGGATAACAGCATTCCATGTGCCTCGGCATTTAGTCATGCCGGCCACGTGACCACGGAAACACGCTGGCTCATCAGCTTGGGAATGGAGATGAGCACCACCCTCTAGAGCTGGATTCGACTGGCTTTCGAGCAAGGGAAACCTTTAATCCTGAAAAGGATTGCAGTGAAATAGCAGGAGAGAGGCAGAAGGTGACTCTTTGGGGAGCTGAAGGTGATACAATCAAAGTGTTGCTGTTTGCAGAATATACACCCTTCCCACTGTCGGTTCTGGTCAGACAGGTTTTCACATTTTTAAAAACCTGAAGAATCTGTTTGCCCAGAAACCAGAGGAGAAATGGGGTGAAATGGATGCCAGAGAAGAGTCTCTTAAAAACAACTGTCTCCCTCCAGGCAGCTCGTGTGTGTGTGTGTGTGTGTGTGTGTGTGTGTGTGTGTGTGAGAGAGAGAGAGAGAGAGAGAGAGAGAGAGAGAGAGAGAGAGAGAGAGAGCGAGAGAGCATCCAATATCTCCTAGGCATCCTGCAAACTGCTCGTATCTCATCTGATTTCCGCAGTGTCCATCAGAACAGTGGTGCAGCCACTCTCCCTGTCCCCGAGCACAGGGTACTGCAACTCAACGATTAGCAAAGAAGTGAAAAAAAATCAGAACCAGGGAGCTAAAAATATGGAAGAGAAATTAGGGGAGATTTAATTGCAATCTCTTTTGGTTGCCATGGAGCATTTTGAAAATGCTTCTGAGAAGCAAAAGCCCAGTACTTGGAAATGCCTATTTTCGCCCTTTGGGGAGAGATCTGGTCTGATTTAGCTGACATGGAAAGATCAGCAATGACACAGAGTCCACCGTTCCATGCAGGGTGTGGGGTGGAAGAGGAGTTACAGACTGCCAGTATTTATCTCATTCTGCACGTTTCTGCCTTCAAAACGTCAAGAAGTGTCCTGGCCCCACTGCTGGACCTCCTGATGGCACCTGGTATTTTTGGCCACTGTGTGACAGAGCGTTGGACTGGATGGGCCATTGGCCTGATCCAGCATTGGCTTCTCTTATGTTCTTGACTGCAATGGGCCAGCATAGACCCCTGCTGCATTTTCGTTCACTGAACCCCCAACATGTTAAAATGACCCCATTTGAATGTTTTAATACTTTCCCTCCCTTTTCTTCTCTCCCTCTTTTAGAGCATATCTCCAAGCCAGATATAACGGTTTAATATTCTTCTTCCCAAAGGATGCCCGGGAATTGTAGTTCTCTGTGCCAGAACAGGGATTAGAAATCTTTTGCAAGAAATCTTAGTGCCTGCACTAAAAGCCCAGGATTTTTTTTTTTTTTGGGGGGGGAGCAGTGGTTGGGGGTGAGGAACCTGAAAATTAAATTTAACAATATACAACCAGTGCTAGAAAAGCAGTAATTAAGACATACTCATTTCTCTGATTCCCTGTCCTACAATTTTACTTAGCCTGTCTTGAAATTAAATGCACCACTGGTATGACCCACCTTGAACCAGACCATGGCCTCAGGGTTGCAAACCTCCAGGTGGTGGCTGGAGATATCCTGGAATTACAATTGAGCCGCAGGTGACAGTCACAGAGACCAGTCCACCTGGAGAAAATGGCCACTTTGGAAGGTGGACTCTGCGGCATGATACCCCACTGAAGTCCCTCCCCTCTCCAAAGTCCACCCTCCTCAGGTTCCACCCCAAATCTCCAGGTATTTTCCAACCTGGAGCTGGCATCCCTGCCGAATGCCAGCTGAAGTTCAGTGTTCTAGATGTCTCTAATGTTGTTCATTTGATTCAGCCTTTCAGTTTTTCTAACCTGCATAGTATATTTGGGTGTCTTATCGAACTTTCTGCCCTGCCTGTCTGTATAACTGATTGACATAGATACAGCACTAGGCTGGGGGCTTGTACTCAAAACAGTTCCCCCCCACCTTTGGGAATGGAGATGCCCAGAGCCAACCTTCTTTCCTTGAAACAAACTGACTGCCTCTGGGCACTATTAACATTGGAAGAACGGGAAAAGGCCAGATCTGGCATATGCAGGGCTATTTTTGGGCAGGAACGCACAGGAACGGAGTTCCAGCTGGCTTCCAAGTTGGCCACACCCACCAGGAACTCATTAGCATAATAGGCCACACCCAACAGCAGAAACTCATTAGGATTGCCTACATTAGGGGTGTGTGGCCTAACATGCAAAGGGGTTCCTGCTACAAAAAAAGCCCTGGGTTTTGACAACAAACAAAGTAAACAGAATAAGAAGCAAAAGATGGGTGTGGCTGGATGAGCACACTTCTGGTAACATGGGGGTGCGGCCTAATATGCAAATGAGCTGTGATGTCAGGGGTGTGGCCTAATATGCTAATGAGTTTCTGCTGTTGGGTGTGGCCTATTATGCTAATGAGTTCCTGCTGGGCTTTTTCTACAAAAAAAGCCCTGGGCGTATGTAATCCAGTCTACGGGGAGATTCTCTCATGAAAGCACCAGTGAAGTGAACAGGTATTTTTGCAAAAGAACTCCCCAGTGGATTGTACCCCATGTAAATTGGGTGGTAGTTCAGCAGCGGACTTGGCTGCTTAGAGAAGTAGTCTTCAAGCAGAGGCTGGACAAACACTTGTCAGGGATGCATTGGGTGCATCCTGGACTGAGCAGTGGGTTGGACTAGATGGCCTCTATGGCCCCTTCCAGCTCTATGATTCTATGAAGGGTGCAAGCAGTAGGTATAAAATTTCTAGCACACCACGTCCAGCTTAGTTCTCTATGCTGCCAGTCCAGCCTTGGTCAGCTGAATTTGATTTAACACTTACCTGATCCATGCCTGGATGCTTATGCATAATGTATATATACTGGAATACTTCTTGTATCAGATATTTAGAGCAGCAACATTAATTTCACAGGAGAGTCTCTGGGTGTCCCCTAGCCTTTGGATCATCAGCTACAGGCCCCAGAGTGAAATCTGCCCGCTGAGTTGCAAATGTTGGGCCTTAGAGTACCAGAACTGGAAATAAGAACAGTGTGTAGAAAGACTAGTGGTGGTCATGGTGGAAAGTGCTGTCAAGTTGCTCCAACTTATGGTGACCCCCCTAAAGTTTTAAAAGCAAAAATTAAGCAGAGGTGGTATGCCATTGCCCCTCTTTGCATGGCAACCTTGGACTTGAACATCCAAGTTCTGAAAAAGGCCAGCCCTGCTTAGCGACTAAGTTCTGACCACATCCGGCTAGCCTGGGCCACCATGCTCAAGGCAAAAAGACTAATAGTATATGTTAATAAGACTGGTGAGGTGGGGTGCAGTAAAGGGGCTTGCCCACAACTCTCCACCCCCTCCAAAAAGAATCACTGTTATAAACCTAACCACTGACTCCTAGTCTCTCTTTTTTTATATACCTCCCCGTATAAAATAAGATGTTACCTCCAAAGTGAATATAATCCACTAGGACGATTTTAGTTTGCTGATCTAATGTATCAAACAATGTGGGGATTTTCCCTTTTGTCTTTAGTTTAATGTGCTGATTGATGGCGTTTTTAGCCAGAGTAGAGTTGTGGAAATCAATCGTCAGCAATTCCATATCAAAGTATTTCTTTGACATGTTACGGAAGACGTCCTTTATCCTGATGCCTTTCTGGATGAAAGAGATGGTGTCATGCAAAAGAGTGAACTCCTCATTCTTGGTGATGTTGCCTCTCAGCTGGTGGAAAAAAGCAGGGAGACGATTCCCTTGATCATCCAAAAGATGGAGGTTTAGAGATGTAACGATTTGGTCGTGTGTTTTCCCTCTGGAAGCCTGAGCAAAGACTGCCAAAGTGAACGACAGTGACAGTGGAGAGATGAATATATTGCTGTCATGAGTCAGTGATATTTTCCGATAGAGATCGAATCCAAAATTGGTGTTCCTCTCTGTGAAGTTGTGTATGGAAAATGCTGGGGTGGAATCTTCAGCAGCTGGATCTGATACATTCTGATGCTGATATTGTTTATCAGTGTTATTGAAAGGCCAGGAGATTGGTAAAAAACTCTGCTGTTCTTGCTCTCTTGAAACCTCAACTTCTGCATTGGATGAGCACATTTTGGCACACAGTTCCAAAATGACAAGAAAAATACCAGCTTTCATGCTGAAATCCGACAATTAACTTATTTCTGGTAAACAGAGAGAGAAGGTTATGTTTATGTCTGAAAAGACTTGGGTTTTTTTAGTTGACAGGTATTTTGCAGGACCGAAATACCTGTCATCTGCAAGACTGGTGTTTTGGGGACCCACAAACTGACCCATAACAATCCCATATATCATTTACTTATCATTTTTTTGTATCCTATCCTTCCTCTAAGGGGCCATCCTGTTTAATCCTTAGAACAACCTATGGAGGTAAAGTAGTGATTTTCCCAAAGCCAATTAGGAACTGTCATGATCCATTAGTAGATGTTGCATCCTCATGTAACAAGTGCAGCAACATGCAGAGTTCAGGAGAACCCTCAATTTCCTCCATGTAGTTAGAAAAATAATTTGAGAGGCCCGTTAGAAATCCTTCATCTTAGCTGTAAGGACAGGTGTACAATAGGATTGGACTTTGAGCATGGCTGTCAGAAAACCATGGGCTGGATGAATCTCGTGGAAAATCTCCACTGACAGAAGGCATTTCCATCAGCAAAGTAGGACTGCCCTGCCTCACACACCCCCAACAGCAGCCCCAGATGATCCCCCAATGCTTCTCCTAAGGAAGTGCCCCCCCACCCCGAACAGCATGAATTGGCAAAAACAGCCCCTCCTTTGACTGGAGGAAATTTTCCACTGGATCCAGCCTTCTGCTTCCAGAAATTGTTTGTAACAGCAAAGCTGTTTAGTATTTTACCCTTTGGGGAAAGTGTGTATGTCACAATGTCTTCACTAAAAGGAAATCTTTGTGTCTGTTCAAATAAGAGGGACAGCCACCTTCCCATTTGTATAGCCTGGGTAGTCTTTCCCCACATAATTATATTCTATAGATAGGAACATATCAAAGAACTTTAGAGTAAGAACTGGCTCAGAAATCTTCTTCCCCTCCCCTCCTTTCCCTTTCCTCTGTGGTCTCTCCTGCTCTTCAAATGAACAGAATTTGGCCACTGGACTCACTTTGTTCTACCGCTTCAGACCAACACGGCTACCCACCTGGATCTGCTGTTCAAATGCAGACAATAAGCATTTTTGGAGAGAAAAAGAAGCCGGTTTCTTCTGCTTATGAAATGTTGTTAAAATACTGTAAACTGACTGATGGAATTCTGTAAATAGCAACAACAAACTTCAAATTTTATCCCCGGGTTCATACAGTTTGGGGAATCTGCAACTATATTGCTGAGATAATTCCTTTAAAAAATTCTAAGCAAATTGTGTTTGGCTCCATAGAAGGCAGCTTTATATAAGACCGGCAGACATTATCTAGAATGAAGAGGAACTTAACTAACGAGGCTTTATCATCTATACAAATAACATACGGATGTATGAAACACTCCCTCCCCCGACCAATGTCACTAGACTGAATTCTCAGACTAATTCCAACTTCCAATTTTTTTCTTCAGACAAAATCTGTTGATGACCTGCGGGTATGCGGAACCCCCTGAGAAATTTCCTTACTGAGTCTCTTTTAACTTCCTGAAAATCCACTGGCATCTGAAAGGCTAACAACACTTGTTTCAATGTGATCTTTCTCAAGTCACAGCTCACCGTCTCAGATATGAAAACATTTGCCTTTCTTTCTTTTTCTCTCTCTCTCCAAATATCTGTCTCACATAGTGTGGAGAACGCTATCATTCCTTGAAAAACCAAGGTCTCTTAAAAAGACATGAGCATTGATCTGTCTCTCTAAGAGACAGCTTTTAGCAACATAAGGAATCAAACAGATTTTCTTTTTTAAAAAAAATCAAAGCTCCATGGATCTATTAACATTTCCTTAAAACAATAAAACATTGTATTTATTTACTCCATTTATACCCTGCTTTTCTTTCCAGTGGGCACCCAAGGTGGCTTATATTGTTCTTCTCTCCTCCACTTCATCCTTACAACAACCCTGTGAGGTGGGTTAGGCAGAGAGTGTGTGACTGGCCCAAGGTCACCCAGCAATCATTCATGGCAGAGTGGGGACTCAAACCTGGGTCTAACAGATCCAGTTTTAACTTATTTTCCTATAGTTACATTCTTTAAAATTATTTTTAAATGGATATCGCTTACCAGCAGGGCTGCTTGTCTTTTACTTTGCTGAATCCTGTATGCTAAAACTAAATTAGCGACAATGCTATTACCCAAAATGAGTGGGAACCTGAGACAAATATTTGCTGTTCCAAAGTGTAGCTCCAGACTTCTGTCTGTTGTAAATTAACTGAATGACAAACAGGGGTATATGAGTTTTTTCAGACAAACAAGGTAAATGCTGAAATGGACAGATGCCCGTAAGGACCACAATATGCTAAAAAAAGAGAGAGAGCTTTCAAGATAGGATAACTCTGGGATGAGATTCCTGCCCAAAGTACTTGGAATTACTGTATCTTTTTGGCTGGCACACAGAGCAGATATACATTCACATTGGATGTTTACTCAGGGATTGCTCCATTGCACTCAAACCACTCAAACCACTCAGTCCCCTCCCCACAACAGACACCCTGTGAGGTAGGTGGGGCTGAGAGAGCTCTGACAGAAACTGCTCTTTTTCAAAAACAGCTGTGCCAGAACTGCGGCTTGTCCAAGGTCATCCAGCCAGGTGCAAGTGGAGGAGTGGGGAATCAAACCCAGTTCTCCCAGATTAGAGTCCGCACACTTAGCCACTACACCAAACTGGCTCTCAAGAAATTGAAAGTTACCTGCCCTATAGTTACTGTTAATAAAGAGGCCTTCAGCCAAATGGAACTGGGTGTTTGTTGTTTGCTCTACAACACAAAAGGGCCACACCAATGCAGAGTCAAAGCAGAGAATTAAAAACAATAGCATAATGGGAATTTTTAAAATTATGTTTCACTCAAAGATTCCTATGTGTTTTGCATGTTGCTTCATCAGGGGAATAATATTTTATATATATAAAGTAGATTTAAATCTTTTTTAATTAACAAACATACAAATACCGAAAATTATAAACTGAAGACAGGCAATTCAGTACAAACTGAACATGGCAAAGCTATTCTGCAGGATGTTCTAAACCATCCAGAGATGGGATGGTTGAAGTTCTTTCATATAACAGGCCTATAAATATACAGACTGAGCTATTTACACAAACCTCCAGATTCACATGCCATATAAGACTGTAATTACACTTGAAGAAATCTGGAACCAGCCAGAGATCAGAAACAGTGGCGAAGCAAAGGATAAGTAGTAAGGTGACACTTTAAAGGATGTAAAAAAAATTACATAGTAGGAAGATTTGATATCAGGTGGAAATTGGCTAGGTCCTTGGGATCCAAGGATGGTGTTAAATACTGGGTTCAAGATGCATTGCATTGAACACCTAATTTAAGTAGCATGCAAGAACTACACCCAAACACACCCCACTCCCCATGATAGGCTATTTACATAACATTGTCTCCTCATTGGTTACCTCTGTTTGCATAGCATTGCCTTCTCATTGGTTACCTCTAGAATCCAGAGTTCCAAGCTCAGCCTATCTCTTATGGACAGACCTGGGATATTCCAGCCCAATACATAACAGATGGTTTCTTGAGAAGGGGTCTAACTTCTCCTTCAAGGACCTAGGGAAGCAACCCTGGGAGAGAGAAAGATTAATAATCTCTCTCAGGGGCCCCCCAACCACGGCAGGATTTAACCAGCCATGAGAGGCAGGGATCCAAGGGGCAAGCTGTCAACTTTACAGCTAACAGGATCCTGTCAACGTCAGTAGATGAAGTGGCCCCAAAAAGGACCTTGATGCAAACATGGAGCCTTCAGCATACTACCGGGAACAAAGCTGGTGGCAAGGTGGTGGTGGAGCTTCAAGGTTTGATCTTTGAAGAAAGTTGCAAAATTTTCACATCTAAAACTGAATTTCTAATATTTTGGGACCCCACATTCCAGGAGGTCAAGTTCTGAACCACCCTAAATAATTGTGTCGGACGTGAACGTGCAGGTGCAATGGAGGAAGAATAATAATGAATGCTGAGTCCCTAGAAATGAATCCATTTTAGGGATGACACCAGGTAGAGGTGCTCATTCTGATTTGGGAAATTCCTGGAGGTTTGGGGGCAGTGCCTGGGAAAGGCAGAGTTGGGAAGAGGAAGGAGCTCAGTTGGGACGTGATACCATGGAGTCCACCCTCTGACGTTGCCATTTTATCCAACGGAACTGATCACTCTAGTCTGCAGATCAATCCTGGGAGAACTCCAGGCCTCACCTGGAGATTGGCAACCTTTCTTTAGGAATTTAGGCCAAAGGGAACAAAGGGAGTTCCAAAGACCATAGTTAGCTGAGCAAAGACTTTGCCGAGCAGAGCATTAAGTACCTCTGATTCTTCTCTACACCATCTTCATCATCATGATCTAAAATACAAACCAGTGAGGGGCAGTGCTTAGAAGCACACGTGCTTCTACTGATTATTTTGAAATACGGCAAGTCTCTGGTGAAGTATAGAGCCGCTCATGTAGAACTCGAGTATTTGTTTTTCATTGAGTCACCGGTGCTTCCTGAAAATGATCTGTCAGGTCAAGCAGCTGAGTCACAATTTATGTTCCAAAACAAGTTTATTAGAAGTTGAAAGAGACACAACTGCTTTGTCGCTCAATAAGATAGATGAGGGCCAGGCCAAACCTCCTTGCTCCTGCTTCCTGTCCTATCATCAGACTGCCACCTTTCCCAGCAAGCAATGCTTGGCTAGGGTTGCCAACCTCCAGACAGTAGCTGGAGATCTGGTATTATGACTGATCTCCAGACAACAGCAATCAGTTACCCTGGAGAAAATGGCTCCTTTTGGAGAGGGGACTCTATGGCATTATGGTCCTCCCCCTCCCCAGACCCTGCCATTGCCATGTTCCACTTCCAAATCTCCTGGAGTTTCTAAGACAGGAGCTGGCAACCCTAAGTGTTTTGCTAGGGTTGCCAACTCTGGGTTGGGAAATTCC